GGAGAAGAGAAGAGAGATGCTGAGCCTGAACCATACTACTACTACTACAAGCGAGGAGAAGAGAAGAGAGATGCTGAGCCTGAACCATACTACTACTACTACAAGCGAGGAGAAGAGAAGAGAGATGCTGAACCTGAACCATACTACTACTACTACAAGCGAGGAGAAGAGAAGAGAGATGCTGAACCATACTACTACTATTATTAGATTCTTCGTTCTCCTTCGTAATAATGAAGGCTTGTCAACAGAAGAAAGTAGAATATAAATGTGTGATTCGGTTTTTAGATACATTTTCTTATGTACATAAATTTATTATTATTTTTCTTTTGTATATAGTTTTTATATATTCTGATCTTATAAAGTTTCTTTGTAAATAGTTTTTCCCTGACTCCCTTTTTCTTCGACCCTTATCCAAATGATAGATTATTATTAGTCCTTGACTATTATTTGATCCCTTTTTAAAATGTTCTCTTAAATTCCTCTTTTTAGACTTGTTCTCTCCCCTCATTGTATCTCTTTTTCTTATTTATTTATTTTTATTTTAAATCTTTTTTTGTTTTTTATTTATTCCTCTTTTTTTTTAATGTCACTGTATATACAAAAGTTGGATATTAGGTGTATCCTTTCGTTTATTCCTCCTTTTTATTATGTTTGGATTGTTCAATATTGTTCAATGAAATTTTATATAGATAGATATATATATTTGGTTTTTTGATTGTCCTTTTTTGTTTTATAAATAAAGTTCTTTTCGAATTCACATGTTTAGCTCATTAATATGATGTGTTTTTTTAGTTCTCAAAAAGTTCCAAATTAGAGATAGGACGATGTTTATATATTGCACTTGGGCATTGGCATATCGCATTTGCTTTTCAAATTACGAATAAATCTAAATAACTTGTCTAGAAAATAAAATCCAAAGATTCCCGGTTATATTTCGATTCTACATTATTATCTCTACTTACACTAGTACTGGTAGTTAGTTTTGCAAATATAATATCAAGATTTCCTGTTTCTTTGTTTTTGTTAGCGGGATTTTTTATAGTACTTTTGCAAAACTACTAGTACTTGACCTAAGTCATAATATGACCATAGTCATAAAATCATAGATCATATACTAAGGTGTCTAATATCATAATAAAAACTAGGGTTCTGCAAATGCCCATGCCGGGCACTAGTGCCAGTGGCATTTCAATACTGGTGCCTCATACCTGACATTTTTAGGCCAGGCACAAAGCGGCATGCCTATGCCCAAGTCGTCGAATATAAATTCTCAAATTTCGTTTGATCAAAATCAATTTTTTTTTTTGGTTGTTATTGACTCATCGTTTTTGACTCATATGATATGACACAATTATTAAACACAGAATTGGAAGTTGTAATCGCGATATTATATTAAATATATTTGAGATTACTATCTCGCGATACATGATACAAAATAAAACTAGAAGCGAGAAGACCATTTAATTTGGTTGGGTTACAAAAAAAAATAACTCTGTTGCATTTAGAATGTGATAAAATTGTGATCATTTATAAAACAAGAGAACTTATCCCTTAATCTGTAGGCTAATTCCTAGG